TTTTGAATGGTTGGATTATGAGGAGTAATATTATTTCTTTCTGCTCCCTCCAAAATTTCCATAATGAGCATGTTTTAGTTCTATAGACAGAACAAATACTTCTGTTTTTATAAAGAGGGCTACCATGAGGTTGCAGGCCTTGATTACTCATAAGATGACAAACCAGAATGTGCCGACATTGTACTTTTGACACTAAGTCAGGTGCATTTCATTAGAGATAATTTTGACTTCTGAGCACTTCACAAATACGAATAAACACATGAAATATAAAAGTTTTATGATCCCTTAAAAAAAATCAGTAAATTCCAAGACAAGGGAGATATGCGTTTTTTTTTCCCTAAATAAATGGCAAAGCTTTAAACTTATATTGCTTTTATTTGCAAATTAATTGGGATTTCAATATAATATGCAAATTAAAAATCCAGGTAACCCAGAGAGACTATCTCCTCACATTTTTATCACATCATAAATCAGTTCTAAAGTCTTTCTAATGAATTAACTACTGGTACTAAATGTAAATATTTTGGCACCCAGCCAGGGGAAATCTATTTTAGAACTTCGTCTGTGCTATGAGCAGGCTGGGAAGAGGGGAGGTTGCTGTCTGCTTGGAGCAGCTTTGCTTGATTTCAGGACTGCTTCCAAAGAGCAGCCACACACAATTTGGAAATAGATGCAAACCCCGTCTCATTCCAGGGTGCCTGGTCTGAGCACTTTTAGAAAATCCCACGAGCCCCTCCCTTTGCTGTTACCATGCTCGTGACATCTGGAAGCAGCCACACGGGCAGAGTCAGCTGCGATGCTGGGAGGAAGGGCTGGGAGTCCTGCAGGATGCTGGGGACCGGATGCTGCAAGGCTGTCTCTGCTCAGGGCTGCAGGCAGGTCTGGAGGCCAGGCCAGTGGGATGAGCTGGTCGGTGTCTTTCTTCCCACTTCCTGTGGGAGTGTGATCTGCTGTTTGGAAGTCAGTGGGGACGGGCTTCCACGCCCTCATCATGCAGAGGGAGAAGCGGGACAGGGAGCTGGCAGGCTGCCCTGGGGGTCCAGGACCATGATGATTTGACCACCCGCCTAGACCTTTGACGGGGGGGGCTTCGTCCTCCTTCCTTTGGGGGGGCTCCCAGAGCATCCTGGGCCATTGAGACCTCACAGGAGGATTCACGGTTGACCCTACTCCCACCACACTGACCCGGGACTCTGCTCTGAGAAGATGGACTCCTGGTTTCCAAAGGTCACACACTGATCTGGAAAATGAATGGGGTGGGTCAGCGGCCTGAGAGTTCAGGAGAACCCTGTGATTTGACGTGCTGCCGGCTGAGTCTCCCTCACTCCCTCGTGTTAACCCGGTCGGTATAAATATGTAAGTATTCCAGAAAGGACAGGCCACACCTGTGCTCCACCATCAAGTCATCGTTAGCCAGCAGGTGGGGACAGGCGCACCCCTTGGGGCTTGGGAAGATCTGCCCTGCACAGAAGACCAAGAGGCTTCCCGCACAAACTGCCTACCCTCAGAGGTGGGGTCCTGTCCACTTCCAAGTCCACTGGTCATGAGTGGGACCCCAGCGCACTGATGAGGGCCATGTTTTCACTCTTAATCCAGGCGTCCACCCTGTGTGCCTGGGTGAACGGGGACTCTTGGTGAGGAGAGTGGCCTTGCTACTGGATGTCCCGGGGCACCAGAGCTCTCCTTGCTCTTCACTTTGCCACTGGGTAAGGTGTCACCTGCTTCCTCAGAGGGGCCAGATCCCACAGAACTCACTGTGCGTACGGTGTGCCTCCGCTGCGGGAAGGCAAGAGGACTCTTCTAGACTCTTCTGTCCACCCCTGCAGGACTGCGCGCTGGACAGGGCTGCAAAGGTCTGTGCTGCACTTAGATTTGGTGGGGCTTCTGAGGGGGATCTCCAGATGCCCTTGCAGGGCATCGGCTGCCTGTCCACTTTTATTCAATAAAAGGCCACTGGGCACCCATCCTGCCAGGCACCTGTGGTGGGCTGGAGACCAGGCCCAGAAGTCCAGTGGGAGGAGATCCTTGCCACCAAGGACACATTGTGAGAGGGGAAGGAGTGGACAGGGCTGCACTCAGGGGGGACCTAGAGAGCGCACAGGCTCTGCAGAGGCCCGGGGTCTGCCCGGGCTGCCGGGAACTTCAGGAGTGTGACTTCTGGAGACAGGAAGTCTGTGCTGGAGTCTCAGCGGGGCACTTGCCAACTAGTAAGTCCTCCTATTCCCCTAGCTCTCTGTCTGTTGGCTGGAGAAATGATCGTCTACCCAGGTCCATTTCCTTCTATTATAGCTATCTCTATTAATCTATCCTACCCATGATCTATTTATCTATCTACTATTTGTCACCTATCTTCTCCTATCTAACTGGCTATCTATTCATCTATCTACTCATGATCTACCTAGCCATCTATCCCCTGGCTTGCTCACTCTGTCTACTTATCTATCTATCTATCCACCATCTATCTACCTATCTGTCTATCCACCTATCTACCTTATCTATCTATCTATCTCTCTATCTATCTATCTTATCTATCATCTATCTAATCTATCTTATCTACCTTATCTATCTCTCCATCCACTTATTTACCTTATCTATCTACCTATCTTTTCATCACCTGTCTATCATCTATCTATCTTGTCTCTCTACCTACCCACCTATCGCCTATTCATCCCACAGCTACGGCAGTGGACATGAGCCACTATTGGTAGTAAGCTCCGTCTCAATCCTCTTCTTCCTGTAGCTACCATCACTCATCCTAGACTCCTGATTGGCTTCATTGTACACCATTTCCTGGCTGCCTTTAATCTTCACTCAGTGTTCCTTCCTGGCTTTGACCTCTCTCTGCTTTGTCCGAGCCCTTTCCAACCCATAGGAGAAAGGGAGGCGGGCAGTGTATGAAGGAGGGCGTAGTCACCAGGGACAGCGCAGCACCAGAGTGGCAGCATGAGTTTCACCGTGAGTCCTGGCAGGGCCAAGGGCTGGTGGAGGCTGGGCAAGGTAAGACCTCTCTGGACAGAGACCCAGGGAAATGGGCTCAAAGTCGCCTAGTCAGCTAGGCGCTGGAGTCCCCGGGAAAGGCTGTCACAGAGAGGCGGTGAACAAGGTGAGCCACCAGCTCTGACAATCCACTGGAGGGCAGGAGGGAGGAGGGAGAGGAGTAAGGGAGAGTTTTCACGCTTTATAGATTCTGTTTTCCAGGGAGTGGACTGCAGAGGGATGGGGCCCTGAAGGGGCAGAGGAGGCTGGAGGTCTGCAAGGTCACTGCAGCTCCACCGGCACAAGGTCAGGGCATCTTCTGAACCGTGCGTGAAGTCCTGCACTCATCAAGCGCAAACCGGGGCTGCCGGCTGCCCTGACCTCAGAGGGGAGCAGACCTGCATGTGAAGATGTCGCAGCTCAAGAGAGCCTCACGGGGAATATTGCACAGAGCAAAGGCGGGGGCCAAGCTTCCTCCTCCTCAGCACCTAGCTGACTAAGCTATTCTGAACTTATTTCATGTGAACTCTGGGTCCTACTTATCCCCATGCCCTGCCATACTATCCCACAGCTGTCTGTCAAATGTAACCATCAAGAGTCAGCGAATGTGCAGGGCACGTCTTGCTGAGTGAAGATTGGAGCCTGAGGCAGAGACTGCAGTCCAGGGCTGTGGTCTTTCTACTGCTGTGCAGACCTCGCTCACAGAGGTTCCATGAGAGCAGCCCTGACAGTGGGATGTGCATGGGCTAATTCACTATTTATCCTGCGACACCAGATGCTTCTGTCACCTCGCAAGTCTGAAAACTGCCCTCTCCCAGTTTCTATCCTTGGCTGGCTCTGAGATTTGCAGAAGAGAGCTGAGCCAGACAGCTTTAGAGCTGTCTCAGGTCACCCCAGAAGTCTGTCCTTGTCCTTTCATTGCTGCTAGGGCTGTGAAGGCTGCTGCTTTGTAGGAAATTGGTTACAGGTGGTTTCAGACCCTCGGGCTGGCGTGGCATGCAGGGAAGAGTACCGAAGGGAAGATGGAGATTATTTTCTAGATGAGTACTTACGGGGTTTTTCCATTTCCAAGAATGTGTAATTGGTTTCATTAATAAGCTGGGGTGCTTATTTTTCCCTCTTAATATAATCATCTGGGTACTATTAGCTCCCAATTTAATATGCATAGGTAGAATTGTAATGAGAGGGATTTGTTTGGTTGGGCATTTTACAAATGTTAAACACTTTTTGCAGGGAAGCCACCCCAGGTTTCTAGTAGAGTTCTGTGAGTCCTGGGCTTCTGGAGGAGCGTCCTGCAGGGCAGTGGGAGTCGGGGGTGGTCCAAGGTGGCCTCTTGGCCTCTACACAGGGCTGTGACTCCCTCCTCCACACAGAAGTGAGGATAGGGGGCTGTGCGGGGACCTAGGACAGAAGGGAGGGTCTGGATGTCTGTCTCTCTTACTTGCACTTGGGAACTTTTGCCTTCTTCTAGGAAAGCCCTTAAGCCCTTAAGGGTCGGGACATGGCACTGCGTGTGGGCTCTGGGAGGCTGAGGCACAGCAACACTGGCCATGGCACTAAGGGCTACTGGGGTATGCCTCAAGTTCAGAGAGGCTGTCCCCGGGTGTGCCTAGGAATCCCCTAATGGAGAATGGTGCTGTGAAGGTACGTTGGGCTCTTGGAAATGAAGTTGCTGGCTAAACAGATGGAGATGTAAGTTCATCTGACAGAAGTAGAGTTTGCTCTTGGTACCAGGAAGTTTGGCGTTGGAGTGACAGCTGCGTGTGTTTTGTAGGGTCCCTTTCAGGGCAGAGCCCCCCCAGACAGAGAAGAAAGGCACATCTGCCTCGAAAACCACAGGAGCCACTTAGCCAAAGCCATGAGAACAGAGAGAGCTCGATGCAGCCACAGAGACGCCAGGCGGAGCTCAGAGCCACAGTCAGACCTGGACGAGTGTGCCCGACCAGGTGGCCCTCGGGCCCTCCACCCCCGTGGCCTGGCCTGCCGATCCTCAGGGGCTCTTGGCAGGGTCTGTGCTGGTGGGGAACACGATTTCCTTAGGCAGGTGCTGCCCCTGAACGGAGCCATGGGGGAGCAGGGTAGGGGCAGGAAAGGCGAAGGGACAGACAGGAGGGGTGCACGCCACCAGGACAGTGACAGCACTTGGAAGGCAGCTGTTCCTGAAAAGCATCTTTAATTATTTAATGAAATTAAAATTTTTAATCTAAGCTGGGAACTTCTTATTCACCTGCCAAATTGGCAGGTCTACCTGAGGCTTCAGAGAAGATGGAGTGGAACACGTCCAGGGAGCCCTCCTCCCCCGCCTGCTCCTCTCGGGTCCTGACAAACAGCCTTCATGAAGGACACTGGGACCCACACCCAGCGCAGCCCCCGCCCAGTGGGTAGTGCAGGGCCCTGTCCAGCCACCTCTTTTGCCTGCTGCTTCTACAGTGTGGGATGGCACCATGTCACACAGAGGATGGATAGACCTTCGACCACTGAGAGTCGGGGAGGACGTTGATAGGCCTCGGTTGGGGACCCACCTGCAGACCACAGGCAGCTGCTTCCTTTGATTGCTCTGTCTCAGGACTGCAGTGTGGGGGCAGAGGTGGCACAGAAGTACTGACATTCAGGAGAGGGCTGGCTTAGATGTGGGAGGGAGGTTTAATCACAACCTTCAATGAAGGAAGACAGCACACAGCTGATGAAACAGGTCCACAGTCCAGAGTGACATGAGGGCCTCTACATTCCCTTCACACATACACCTTCAACTCCTTTTGTACATATTTGTTCCCCCAGACTATACAAAACAAATGTAATCAAGGGGGGGGGGTGACATTTTTCCAAAGAATTTTTGGAAACTCCAAATAGATTATATTTGAAATTTTAACAATTAGAGTATGATTTTAAAAATTTCGCTGGATCAGTTGCATCTAAAAATGAAAGTCCTGTGCACCCACTGATTAAGTCTGGCCAGGGCTCTGGACCAAACTGCAGTGTATCACTGGGGCCACAGGCAGACTCGTGCTAAGGATAGGAGGCCTGAGCGTGTTAGTGGTGGCCTGTGGCCAGCCCAGAATCAGCACTTCCTAAGAGAACAGCCACAGCTCCTGGGGGAGGGCAGGCAAGCCACTGGCCCTGCTCCCACTGTTGGCTTTCTATAGGAGAACACAATGGGCAGGCAGCCAGAGGTCTTTTGTGCCCCCCCTTCCTCTCAATCTTGGTCCTGGACACTGTAGCAAACCAACAGTAAACAGGTGAGTTCAAAATCACTTGGGATTTCAAGACACAGACCCATAGAAGACTTAATGTTTTTACCTTTACAGGTAAATATTTACATGCTCCCTGATCAAAAATGTAAGTTAAAGGAAAAAAAGTGACTTGTAACAGATTTACGTAAGTTCCAATGAAAACAAAGCAGTCCTCCAGTGATCGCATCCTTTCAGGCCTTGCTTTCCGGGGGCTGGACACTGGTGTGGGGCATTGAGCTCTCCATCTCTTCCTAGCAGGATGAACCCCGGAGCCAAGAGCCTTGGGATGGCTGGTGAGGCAGCCTCCGGGTATGAGGGCAGCTCAGGCCACGTGTGAGAGGGGCTGTACCTAAATTTTGCATGTCTACATTTGGCATGAAGACATTTAATTTAAAGCAACTGAAATTCACTTAACACAAGGTGGCAGGTAGAGCAGCTGAAGGAAGGCAGGGTGGTGCAGGGGAGGGGGTGTATCGGAAGCTGGGACAAATCCCTGTCCCTCTCTAGCCTCTGCCCCCTGCCCTCTGCAGAATGCAGCAAAGTTAAGGGAAGGACAGGCAGATTCATGCTCTCTGCATATTTCCCTTAATTACTTCTCCTCCCCGATTCCAACTCTCATAAACCAGTTTTTAGAATTCTCCATGCAGCAGCATCTCTTGTGGCAGAGCCCAAGGTTTTGTGTCCCTTTCAACCTCTATTCAGGATGGAGAGAATGGCAGACAGCTTCCCAGCAAGGGTCACAGCTTGCCGTATCACAGGGCAGAGCAAATGAGATTAGAGCCTAATGTGTCTAGACAGCGCCCTTAAACAACCAGAGAGAAGACGCAGACATCGCAGGTGCACGTGCTGGTCCTCTGTGGTTCTGAGCTCTTTGCTGCATCTTGGACTTCCCCTAAAGAGAGCTGAGACGGCAGCCTGTGGGCAGTGAGGCCCCTGCCTTTTCTGCCTGTTAGTGCTGCCTCTGATGGATCCTGCACCATCTGGGAATTGTCACCTCTCCTGTGACTTACAGGCTCTTCTTTCTGGATGTCGATCCTCATGAGGACTCCTTTTATTCATCCAGGAGGATGAATGGACCCATGTTAAGGAATGAACCAGTGTCTTCCAGCACCTGGGAATCAGGATGGAAGAAATAAGGATTTCATGAAAGCAGAATAAGCTAGCAGAGCCTTGTAACCATGGCACAAAGACATGGAGGACAGGGGCCTGAGGATCACTCAGAATCCCCCTCTCCAAAGACTCAGGAGGAAGGGTCATGCCACCAACATGGGGACACAGGGTCTGGGCAGAGAGGGCCTATTGAGCTCCTGTCTGAATATTTTTATTCACAGAGCAAAATTTTTCTCTAAGGGAAACACTGTGGATGAAACATAAACCACTGGTGGGTCTTTACCCACCAACCCTCCCCTCCTACCTCCACCCCAGCACAACATCTCCATGCCTCTGTGGTTGGCCAGAACCCTGGGTCATGGCTTTGAGAAGGAACCCATCCAATTTGACTGACTCCTTTTAGTGACCGAGGACAAAATACCACCAGAAATAGAAGCCTTAAGAACATGTGAAGAATAAGGAAAGAGGAATTCCGATGGAAAGATATTTTCCAAGCCTGCAGTTCATGGCTAATGCATCTGAATGTTCCTGTGAACAAGACTAAATTGAATCTCATTCTCATGGAGAAGAGGAAAAGAAAAGGGGTTCAAAGGGAAATGCTCAATGGCTTTTTGCTCGTAGAAAAAGAACATAACAAAACAAATGTTCATGTGACCGGTTGTAACTTTTAAAGAGATCGAATCCCCAGAGCTCACGTGGAGATGTCTGCAGAGCTCTGCTCAGCTTAAGCCTTCGCACAGAATGGGCGCGAGCTGCAGCTGCCCAGGGCTGCCCATCTAGAGAGTGGTCAATGTCATGTGCTCCACCTGGGGGCAGACTCTGTCTCTGACAGGGTTGTGAGGAAATGCAGAAGTCCCTGTTGCAGCAGCAGTGAATTTCAAATGGCGAAACACATCTCAGAATGGTGCTGTGATGAGTTGCATGTTGGTTGGACTGCACAATCCTCTCCTTCAAGGTGCCTGAATCCAGACGTGGCGGGCATGGGGGCTAGATTGGCTTTTCCCAGTGCCTGCTGGAAATATATTTTTCTCTCATTGCATCCAGTGCCCACAAGGCCAGGTCTACCTGCAGATCCAAAGGTGGTGAGTGCAGGGCAGTCTTAGATTTTTCCTGGCTGTAACCATGGCTCCTAAACATAGCCTATGCCACTCACCTACTCTGTGTGTGATGTACACATCCTGGTGTCGTTTAGAGTTTCAACTTCAGCGCTGGCTTCTCTCCTTTTGCCCTCCTGGACTTAGCGCCCCAGGTTCCTGACAAGAGGAACTGGGGGGGAGGTAGGGCCAGTGTCTCATGGTGCCCTGGAGGAGACATCGTTACCCAAGCTGAAGATGAGAACCCCTGTTTTCATAACAAATGGGAAGGGCAAGGATGCCGAGAGACAGAGAGAAACCCGAACCCTCCATCAGTGCTGAGCCTCTGAGTTACCTGCACTTCCGCTTTCCCCATTTTCTAGCTACAGACATTATCTACGTCTCGAGTCTTATGTAGAAATTGCACTTTACCAGACAATTTATGTACATAATATACCAGTGTAAAATGAAACTTTTATTAAACAGAGTTGAACTGATTATTTAAAACACAGTTGAAAGAGTGCTTATTATATTAAAATGGCATGGAAGGGGACCTATATTTCTGGCAACATTGTAAAATCCTGAGTATCAAGCAATTATAATGATAGCTGCCACTTACACAGAGCCTAGAACGGCTCTAAAAACCTGCAAATGTGGACTCATTTATTCCTTACGCACATGATGAGCTAGGCAAGACGATCCTTACCAGTTTGCAAATGGGGTAACTGAAGCACAGAGAAGTTATAAAGCATTTAATAGTCTGCTCAGTGCTGGGCCTGGGTTTGAACCAAGGCAGACAGGCTTCAGGGTTCACATCATCAGTTGCAGGATTGGTTCACAGGATGCTACGCAGCATTGCCCATCAGTTGAGAAACAGACATGCTCGCTGCATTACAGCGTACATAATTTTAAAGGTAGACAAGACTTCAGGAAAGTAAGAGAAAAGTCCAGCAGAATTCGGGAGAGCCTTGATAAGAAGGGTGGAGGTGTAGCTGTCACTGTAGCCTCAGGGGTACAAGAGCAGGAGACAAGGCCCCGCAAGGAGTGGCACTGTGAGACAGTACCATGGGTGAATGTCAGGTCTCTGGCACAACTTCACTGCCCTCAAAATGGCCTGTTCAGAGAAAAGGAGAAAGGAAAAAAGGTGAAGAAACCTCAGAAAGCAAGCAAGCAAGTTCTCTTGCCTAGAACTGGACTGGGAAGAAAAAGGAACTTCCAAAGAATACATATCACAGGCAGCCTACCTTTGAAGTAATGCTACCTGTATTCCAAAGGTGACTAATTGGTACAAAGTGGTGCCCAGCCTGAAAGTCCAGGGGTACCACAAAAGAAACCCCAGACCATCTTATGGGAACTCACCTGCAACCTAGTCTGCCCAGGAGTCCTGGACATAATGTCCACCCGAGACGACTCCCAACCCACCTGTGAGACAGAGAGCCTACTGAGGCAAGAGTCTGGAAACACGACCAGCCAGTGAGATGTCCAAGGACTCAGGAGGTGGACCTCCTGAGGAAGCCAAGGGACAAAAAAGACACTTAAAACAGCAGCAGAAGCACCAGACAGGGACTCGGGGTGTGGGAAAAGCCAAGCTATGCCACAGCGGTCAGCTTAGGCTTCGACTATATCGCTTGTTGCTCTAAAACGCTTGAATTTTTTTTTTCCTTTTCCCCAACCTTCTTTCCCTAATCTTCTCCTCCCTAATCCCAGGAAACAGGATTTCCTTGACTCACCTCTTTAAAAATTCCCTGTTCCCTCTGATGCCACAGCCCTGGGACAGGACTCCCTGTGTTTCTCCTTTGCTACCAAAGCAATAAACCTTCTTTTTCCTTTTTGTCAAAATCATTCCCTGGTTACTGGATTGGCATTCGGGTCAAGGACCAAGTTTTCTGTGATAGTTATAACCAACAAGCCAGTAAGATATAAAAAATGACCAAATACAGGAAATGAAAAATCAAGGGAATGAGGACGTTATACAAAGCAGAGTAGAGATAAAATGATTGTTCCAGAGCTGTTCTCAATATTACCTCCAGGGGTGTTTTAAAGAATCAAATTGTATGTGTGTAATACCTAGAAAATGTAAGTGCTGAATAATTGCTTTTAAATACATTAAATAAACACATGGCACATAGAATTGAATATTTACATGAAAGGCACATAAATATATATTTCAAGATTTAGCAGAAACGCAGGGCAAAACTACTTTCCAACATCATAAAATGGAATAGGAATTCCAGATGGGGAAATAAAGAAAATGGAAGAAAAAACTCTCCAAAATAGAATAACTAGAAATTTTTCAGAATTAAGGGAAAATACCAGTTCTCCTGAGCATAAATCCTAATGCATCGACTTGAACACATGAAAGATAGATGGATGTACTAGGTCATCAGAGAGCAACTGTAAACTCTATAAACCTTAAACCCTCCCTCCAACTTGACCAATGTCCCAAGAGAGGTTTACTTACATTGCATCAAAATCTGCCTGATGAAAGGCTTCTCAAGGTCAACAGCAGAGGCCACGAGGTGATAGCTTGGGATCCAGGGCACGTGGGATCTCCCCTGAAGTTAGGGTGAGTCATCTCCATGGGTTTCAGAGACTGGCTGAAATAGTACCTGCTTTTGTGCTAACTGTTTACAAGAAAGCAATGCTTTGCTGCCATGACCCCGGCCCTTCCTGGGGCCTCGTCCAGTCACCTGCTAACTGTCACCATGGACCTCCTCACAGCCCTGAGGCTAAGTAGCCTCAACTCTCCACGCACCACCTGATAGAGACAGAGGACATCAGGTCTCTTCCCTCCAGCTCTGCCCTCTCTCAGCAGCAAGCAGCTTGGAGCTGTCACCTCTCGTCCCATAGAAATGGAACTAGAACCTGACTGTGAAGCAATGTGACAGTGGGCCACGTTATGCTTTGAACACAGCCCCGTCTGCTCTGCCACTGTGACTGACTGTTAAAACCAACGCACTCCTTTCTCTTCCTTCCTCCCTCCCCTCCTTAATTTCTCTTCCCTAATCTGGGGGAAGCAGGATTATCTGTCCTCGAGGACACACCCACCACAGGAATGAAGCAATCCAGACTTAGGGATGGCACCAGAAGATCCAAGAAATGACTGTCTCCTAAATTCACCAGGGAATCACGACTCCAGACAGGGAACACATGGAAAGTAGCTTTTAACTGACCTATTTGACAACCTCCTGTGTCCCCTGATGGGGACAACCACAGCCTCTGGGATAGGAGTCCCCTGTGGTGTTTCCTGTGCTAGCAAAACACTAACGTTTCTTTTTCCAAGAAGAAGAAGGAGGAGGAGGAGGAGGGGGAGGAAGAGGAGGAGGAGGAGGAGAAAGAAAAAAAGGAAGAAAAAGGAAAAGAAAGAAAGAACAAAAATCATGTGGTGATAGAATAATGTCCAAAGTATCAAAGGAAAAAGAGGAAAGGATCTTCTATACGGAATTCTACATCCAGCTGAAGTACTGTTTGATGGAGAAGTTAGATAGGGTCACTTTCAGACAAGACTGGGGAATGTCACCACTAACTAAATTCCTGTAAAAGAAGAAAACACACTTATTAAAAAAAGATCATTGAAGCCAGAATAAACAACAAGGAGAAAATATGAGTAAATCTAAATGCACATCATCTGTTAAAACAACACAAACGGTGATCACGGTTTGTGGTGATCACGGTTTGTGGTGATCACGGTTTGTGGTGATCACCGTTTGTGGCCCCCTGTGAAGAGGGCCCCTGGGTGCTGAGATGCAGCAGCACAGACATGGAGGGCGGGGGTCTCGGCCGAGGCCCCTCTGCCACGAGTGACCCAGAGATCTTGATGAGCCTGCGTTGTTGTTAAGTCAAATATTTAATGTTGAAATGTAAAATATGCCTACATAAGACTTGCAAGGGAACGTGAAACTTCTAACTTATTCATATAAATAAAAAGAGGTAAATGCTACTGGCTGGTATGATAGCCAGGGAGAAAAAGAATAAGCACACAGAATACAGAAAGGTTTAACACTGTTTATAAGGTCTTGGTGATTATGTGATCATACTTGACCAGTGTGACTGAGAAAACCAGAGAGAGAATGCTGCACTCACTCACAGTTGTTTTGAACCCATGTAGAATCATTATGAATGACCTCTTCTGGATGAGTGACCTTCATCACTCTGAGGTACAGCTGCCACAAATAATTCCCGTCATGGTAATGACACCTTATGTGACAGGCTGCACACCAGACATCCTCTCTAGAGATGCTATCTAACATTTATTATTATAAAACACAAATGAACACAACGAGAGAGAAGATATCAGACATGAACATTGGGTACCGAGCAGTACCAGTAAAATGTGGGTTGATTTTGAATAATGTGATTGAGTGGAGTATGACAGTTATTACATCTTTAAAATAAGTTCACAGATGGTGACAATGTGGGAGATGATGGGGGGTGGAGGGGAATCAGAGTGTGCGACTGAGAGACACTGATGAAATGCTTATGTCGAATAGTCAGACATTTAAGGGTAACTAGAAACATGTAGGTAGGATTTGCAAAGTTCACACCACTACAATAAAATGTGGAGGAAAAGAATCCATAAAAATGAATTCACAATGAAAATGAAAACAACTGCCTAAGGAGTCAACTCTCCAGGAGACAGAATAGACAGCATCATTAAACTCCCAAGAACTCAGAAAGACATCATACGGTAAAGAATGTTTAAAGTTATTAGGCAACTTAAAAAATGGGCAGAGTCCCTGATGCCATGGCAGGTCACTAAGAAAAATCAAGGATCAGGAAAGAGACAGAAGCAAAGAACACATTAAATAGACCCTGAGATGGATTCAGAGAAACCGCGATCAGCTGGAAACAGACCTGCAGGAATCACCCAGAATCAGACACAGAGAGATCAAGACAGGAGGTTTTTCAAAATGACTCAATTTAACTTAATGAAAGAAGAAAGTTTAACACATTTTTAATAGAATTTTGGATGAAACAAACTATTCAAGAAATGGTGACTAAAAACTTAGAAGAGACATGTGTTTAGGAACCTCACCAAGCCCTGAGCCAGACACAGAAGTTACACACCCATAAACACACTGTTACACAGTTTCTTCATGTCAAATATCAGGGAAAAAAGCTCCAAAGACAGACAGAAAAGAAAGCTTGCTCGGGAAGGAGTGACAGCTGGTATCGGTGTCTTCCCCAGTGACAAGAGGAGTTCCCTTCAAAGCGCTGATCACTTGCACCTGCCAATTCAGGAAGCAGAAAGCCAAGGCTAGAGCTCTGAGCTACATGCTTCTGCAGAGTGTCTCTTAGTGACAAAGGAAACAGGGAATTGTTCGGAGAAGAGGACTGGACCCGGGAAGCAACAGTGAGCACTATGGGCAGTAGAGCTGGGAAGACGAGGGTGGATCTAAACAAGCAAGTATTGAATGAATTAAAACCCAACGCAATTCCACACCCTTGGGTTTTAAGGGAAATGCAGAGCAGAAGAAAGGACAGCCTCCTTCAGGCGGCCCACTCTGGCCTGCAGAGGGGCTGCTGGCCTCTGAGCTCTCGTCCTTGCCTGTCTTCATTGACGTGGCTGCAGTCACATGTGCAATCATCAGCTGGCAATTTGTGCACGTTGCTTACATTCTCTGAGTTCAAATTTCCTCAGCTTTAACATGGGAACAGTAACAGCTGCTCACAGAATGTGATAAAGATTCAACCAAGCTTCAGAAGCCCTTTCTCCCACTATGCTACCCTAAGTTCACATCAGGTGTGTGAACCCGACATGTCGAATCCCCCAGACTCCTGAACCACAGAGACCCCATCCTCAGGAGCTGTGGGCAGGCTCACCGTGCCCACCCCACTGTAGCCCACAGGGTCCGGGCACTGGAACACACAGTCTGCAAGAAGGAGCCTCCAGAGACTGCCTGACAAACAGCACGCCATGGCGACCTTCCTGCAGGAAGCCGCTGGACACCTGAAGTGTGATCAACACTGGTTCAGGTTGGAGCTTTCTCAGTGTCAAAAAGTGACCTGAAAGTCTCTTTTCAAGTCTCTCCCCATGTCCCTCATCAAAGTCACCCTTCCAGATGCCTTTTATACAATTACAAGGCCATGTCTGTTCTCCGAAATTAGGTGTTATGGTTTGGATGTGAGGTGTCCCCCAAAAGCTCACATGTGAGAGAGTTCAAGAAGGCCTGGAGGAGAAATGATGGGGTGGCAGGAGTCTTCACACAATCAGTGATTCATCTCCGATAGGGGTTACTGAGAGGTAATGAAGTGGTGGGGTGTGGTGGAGGGGGTGGGAATTGGGGCGTGGCTTTGGGGGATATATTTGTATCTGGAGAGTGGAGCCTCTCTGCTTCTTGATCACCGTGATGTGAGCTGCTTCCCTCTGCCACCCACTCTGCCATGATGCTCAGCCTCACCTCCGTCCTGAGGAATGGAGACGGCCTTCTATGGACTAAGACCTCGGAAACCACGAGCCCTCAAATAAACTCTTCCTCCTAGATAATTGTGCTGGTTGGGTCCTTTAGTCACAACAGCAAAAAGCTGGCTAAAATATCAGGAATCCCTGTAAAACCATGTCCCAAGGCCATGATCTTGTGTTTTACGCACCAGAGGAAAGAGAGAGACACCTGCGGTGAATCCCACAGTTCTCTTAAGGCAAAGCCAGCACCCGGCTCTCACTTCCCCAGCTCCTTTAGCACCCACAGTAATGAATGTGTCATGTGTTGACATATGTGCTCCTACCTGGGCCGCTACACCACACACTGTCCCCTGAGCAGTCCACCTGCCATGGCATGGGACTTACCTGGCATGAAAAGTCACCCTGCAGCAGGACAATGTCACGCCCACCTCGCTGTCTTGAGGCTTGAAGAAACACCCGTTTGCAACAACGTCCCAGCTTGGAAGATCACTAAACACTTTTATTCCTACAAGGAATAATATTAATGCCAATTAACAATTATTAAGAAGGAGAATTTTGACAGGAACTAGAAAGTTAGAAAGTGATATACAGTAGAGGGGAGATCATGAGTGCAGCTTTGGCGCAGAGTGTGGGAAGCTGGTGTTTTCTTTTGTATTATATTGAATTTCTATATTATCTTGGAGAGACTGAGACTCTTCAACTCTCTCTCTCTCTCTCTCTCTCTCTCTCTCTCTCTCTCACACACACACACACACACACACATTTTGAGAAAAAAATACACTTATATCTTAAAAGTTTAACTTCCTTATAAACCCATAATGTTTTGATAATTATCTCCTAATTTATAATTTTTGATTGTTTAATATGACTAATGTAAGGTTTTTTCAGCAAAGAAAGACACTGATAAGAAAATAACTACGCCTGTAAATTTGTATGCTAATATAATCATATTTTTCTTCACATTCCCTCAAGTAAATTTAAATCAGTTGCTTGTCAAGAATTGATATGTGCTAGTTAAAAATGATGAATAAAAACCCTGTTAAAATATCATTTTAACATTTTAAATTTCAAATATTAAATTTCAAAATTACTTTAAAAAAAAACATTGAAGGAAAGAATCCAAGATGGCGGAATAGAGGAGGTTCCGTTTCTAGCTGATCTGTGGCATAAAACCAAGAACCAAGAATTAATAATTGGGATGGAATCAAACTAAAAGTTTTCTTCTCAGAAAAAGAAACAATCTGTAAAGTGAACAGAGAGCCCACATCCTGGGAGCAAATTTTTACCCCTCATACATCAGATACAGCCCTAATTTCTAGAGTATATAAAGAACTCAAAAAGCTAAGCACCGAAAAAACAAATAATTCAATCAACAAATGGGCCAAGGATCTACCTGAACAGATGCTTCTCAGAAGAGGATATACAATCAATCAATAAATATATGAAAAAATGCACATCATCTCTAGCAATCAGAGAAATGCAAATCAAAACTACTCTAAGATACCATCTCACTTCAGTCAGAATGGCAGCTATTATGAAGACAAACAATAAGTGTGGGTGATGATGTGGGGAAAAGGCACATTCATACATTGCTGGTAAGACTGCAAATTGGTGCAGCCAATATGGAGAGCAGTATGGCGATTCCTTGGGAATCTGGGAATGGAACCACCATTTGACCCAGCTATTCCTCTTCTCAGACTATACCCAAAGGACTTAAAAACAGCACACTACAGGAACACAACCACATCAATGTTTATAGCAGCATAATTCACAATAGCTAGACTGTGGAGCCAACCTAGATGCCCTTCAGTGGATGAATGGATAAAAAAATGTGGCATATCTACACAATGGAATTTTACTCAGCAATAAAAGAGAATAAAATCATGGCATTTGCAGGTAAATAGATGGCACTGGAGAAGATAATGTTAAGTGAAGTAAGTGAAGTTAGCCAATCCCCCCCAAAACAAATGTTTTCTCTGATATAAGGAGGCTGACTCATAGTGGGGTAGGGAGGGGGAGCATGAGAGGATTAGATAAATTCTAGATAGGACAGAGGGGTGGGAGGGAAAGGGAGGGGGCAGGGGATTAGCAAAGATGGTGGAATGTGATGGACATCATTATCCAAAGTACAGGTATGAAGACACGAATTGGGTGTCAACATACTTATATAAACAGATATGAAAAATTGTGGCATATATGCGTAATAAGAATTGTAATGCAAAAAAAACCCCAAAGTACATGTATAAAGGCATGAATTGGTGTGAACATACTCTACATACAAAGGTATGAAAAATTGTGCTCTGTATATGTGTAATAAGAATTGTAATGCATTTCGCTGTTATGTATCTAAAAAAATAACATCAATAAAACTAAAAAACAAAACAAAAACATGGTTCAAACATCACTGATTTCTCTATTTAGAGCTTGCTGACTGTAGTTCCCTCATTCAGATATGCACACACTCATACTACACTGGTACATAAACTGCCTGAAAGGTGACTTCTAAAACCTCTGATTTGTGGTGCTCATAGTTCTGAACTCGAGCCCTCTGCTCATCACAATGATGTTATGATTTCTTTCATTGTTATCTGAAATTCTTGTAACCCTGACTTTATGTACAATATCCTATTTCTATTGTTTGGTTACAGGACACAAGGGCTCTCCTATCTTGATTTTTTTCATAGCAAAGAAGCGAGTCTCTTCTGTATTCCAGCCCTAGGAGTGCACTCTTGGACTTGAGAGACGACGGCATTCACCAGTACCAGTTGGAGAAGCCCGAGTGCAGGCAGACAGGAAGCAGATGTGTGACTCAGACGTCCTTATGTGACTCCAGCCAACGTCGGGAGCTCTTCCTGTGACAGGTTTTGTTACTGAAATGGGATGCGATCAGAAGACAAGCACACCACTCTGCAGGGACAAAGCTTACCTTATAAGGCTTAATCCAGATCCTCGATTTCAGGGGAAGCTCTTGAAGCTCCGGCAGATGGCTGAGGATTCTCTCTCCAGCTGGAAACGGACATCTTACTTGTTGGACTTTTCCCTTTTAAGGCAGCTCCGTAGCTCTGAGGGATCTCCCGGAAGGTGGTGGTGGGGTCACGCCTCTCGGAGCTCAACACCCCAGGAGCTGGCCATTTTGTAATGGAGAATTAGATTTCATGAGCCACTGCCTGGTGATTTGAAGACTAACTAGCTGTGACTCAGATGCCTAAAGTTAAGACCCCAGAAAAATTCAAAGGCTTTAGAGTGTAAGCAATAGACGTGAAGAGCAGGAGACAGCTGGCGCGGGGACCACAGAGAAGCAGAGCTGTGAAAGAGGAAGTCTCCGTGACTCCATGGGCCCCTGGGGGGCCGCAGTTGGTGCTTTTCTTGGCTGCTTAAAACAGGGATGGATCATCCTGAGCCCAAGCAGCACGTGGGAGCAGAGTCTGGGAACAGCAGGAGCCCATAATGCAGACTCCTCCCTGCATTTTTCCATAAGATGTTCCAGAAGGTCAGGGAGATTTTTGTACTGTTTTGAGGAAGTCAAACACATCCATTGGCCACTTTTCGTAGGTCGAGAGCACAACTGGAACAACCTTCAGGGAGATTGTGAAGTCAGGATCAATGGAGGAAGGAGTGGAGTCAGAGAGGGAAAGAGCCTCTCCACAGACACATGCTCATCTCAGAGTCAGAGCGCAGGGTTTAGCTTCCGATTTTGTCACTAATTTGCTTAATTACCAGTTCAGTTCAATAGTTACTCATGAGCATGCCAAGTGTCAATCACTGCATCGAAACACTGAGGACGATTAGTGAGCGTGGGAAAATCATATAGCTTGTTGGAATGTCAGTCTCCTGAAGAAATGGAAATTAAATTACTGAATTTCATTCCAGAAGCAAAAATGTAAAGCATGTAAATGTGCTAAAATTATTACTAGAGTAGTTAATAAGAAAGTATTGTATGCTAGGCATGGTACTGAATGTCCTGTTGATTCTATCATATTTAATCCTGAAACCATCAAGAGGAAACAAGAGGAAACCAGAAAACTTTCTTGGGATTGTCTGGCAAAAACAGCACTTGAATTGTGACTTCATCCTGCGCCCAGCATGAAGTACTGAGTCATAGTCAGTCTCCTCCTGGACTGGCACTTGCTCCATGAGAGAGTGTGCAGTCTCCAGCTGGTGCGCAGTGGTGGGGGCCCCAGCTCTCCTTTGGCCCCCATGACTTAGGTAGAGAATGGAGGAGGCCTGCCCCGGTGCCCTGGGACCCACTAGGCTGCCCCAATGCCTTTCATGACAAACCACAGGAGGTGATTTCACTGTTGTCACCATTACCAGGTGAGGACACTGAGGCACAGAGAGCTTGTGTCTAGAGCTGGAACAATTTCTTCTAGACTTTCCAACTTATTAGGTAAAAGGGAGAAAAATAGGAAAGGAAGAAGTTCAATCATCACTATTTGCAGATGATTTAATCCTAGACTTAGAAAATCCAAAAAGCTCCCCAGAAGACCACTAGAATTAATGAATAAACCCAGAAAAGCAGCAGGTTACAAAATCAACATTAAAAGTCAACAGTTTTCTTATACATCAACAATGAACCTGGTAAGAGAGAAATCATGAAAATGATCCTATTCTCAATAGCCTCAAACAACAATAACAAAATACCCAGGAATGAATATAACATGGAGACGAAAGACTCTACAATTAAAACAAAGGACACTCGAGAAAATTTGAAGAAGACCCAAGAAGATGGAAAGATGTCCCATGTTCATAGATAGGCAGGAATAATATTGTTAACATGGCCTTATTATCAAAGGCAATATACAAATTCAGTGTGATTCCCATCAAAACATCAATGACATTCTTCAAAGAACTAAAAACAAACAAAGTCTTAAAATTTATTTGGAAAAATTTAAGACCCAGAATAGCCAAATAATTCTAAGCCAAAAAGGTGATGCTGGAAGCATCACAATACTGACTTAATTATACCATAAAGCTACATGTCAAACTCCGTGGTCCAGAGTAGAAGACACAGAGACCAACCCATACAGTTAGAACCATCTGGTCCGTGACAATGATGTCAAAGCACATGTGGAAGAAAACACACCATTTTTAACAAATGGAGCTGGGAAAGCTAGTTATTGACATGTAGAAGAATGAGACTAGACCTTATTTCTCACCTTGCACAAAAATCAACTCAAAATGGATCAAGGATCTAGGAATTAGAGGAGAAACTATGCAACTCAATACTCCAGCATATAGGTACAAAGAGTTAATTTCTCAACAGGATCCTTAAAGCACAGAAAATAAAGCCAAGAGTTAATACATGGGTGGCATCAAATTAAAAAGTTCTGCACAACAAAGAAAACAATTAGAAATGTGAAGGGGAACCTACAGAATGGGAGGAAATCTTTTCTAGCTGTTCTTTTGAAAAAAAATATCCAGAATATATAAAGAACTCAAAAGACTTGACATCACCCCCATCCTACCCCCGCAATATTAATGGACAAATGAACTAAACATACACTCCTCAAAAGAAAAAATATAAATGACCACCAAAAATTTATATAAAAAGTTCAACATTAACAATTAGGAAAATGCAAACCAAAACTACACTGAGAACCCATCCCATTCCAGTTAGAATGGCAGCCATCGGTGGCCACCACACTATAACAAATGCGGGAGGGATGCGGAGGAGAAGGAACGCTTCTGCTGGAAGGAACACACTGTTGGTGGGATTGTAAATTGGTACCTCCATTATGGAAATCAGTATGGAGGTTTCTCAAAAGACTAGGCATGGAACTACCATATGAGCCAAGTGTACCACTTCTCTGTATTTATCCTGAAGAATCACAGTCAGCACACTGTAGCAATTCATGCACACCCATGCTTAAAGCAGCCCAATCCACAAGAGCCAAATCACGGAACCGACCTAGGAGTCCATCAATGGATAAATGGGTAAAGAAAATGTGGTGTATGAAGAATGGGATTTTATTAATCTATAAAGAATAACAAAATTGTGTCATTTGCAGGAAAATGTATGGAACTTTAGGACACTGTGTTAAGTGAAATAAATCAAAGTCAGAGAGTCAAGGGGAGGGTCCTCATGAAAATTGAAGGGAGCTCAGTAAATAGAGGAAAGGGATGAGGGGAGGGAAGGAGGACAGGGAAAAGGGAAATGCTGGGGAATGCTACTGATAAATTATGTTGTTACACTGTGCGGATGTATGAATATGCCACAGTGAAGCTCACCATTGTGCTCCGTTATACCACACCAATAAAAACATGGAAAAAATAAAGACTGATTGTCAATCGAAAAGGAAGTAAAACTTAAAGATTTGGAAAATTCTTCAACTAATCATATTGAAAAAAAATATGGAAGACTGTCCCAGGAAGAACAAGGGAGTGGGAAAGGGACCCTCCCATAAGGAGATAGTAGGAATCAGTCATCTGGACAGAAGCCAGGAGCTATGGTCCAAGATGATGAGCAGGTGACCCTCCAGCATTTCAGAGACAGGCCCAGGGTGCTCCCCCTCACTGTCAGAGTGTGAGGGCTGGGGAAGGGCCACCTCCAGCAGCTCTCCTGAGCACAGGTCACCAATCTGCCCCACTCCTGGGGAAGCTCCTGCTCTGTGCTCCATGCCGTACCTTTCTCCTCGACCTCCTACCTCCAGGCTGTTGTTGGGATTCTGGGTTGAGCTCCTCCTCTAAGTCCATGAGGTGTCCAGCTTCTCCCTTTTCCTTCCCTTTAACCTCATTGGACCACAGCATCCCCTCACCTGGTCTAAAGCATCTAGGATCCTATTTGCTACTCCCGGGTCTGAGTCTTGAACTATCACCTGTTTTCACCAGGAGATCCTGGTCCTGGGACCCTGCTGCCATGGGAAATTCTCCAAGTGGATGTCCCACAGGGGTGTGAAGTCACAGTGTGCAGATGCATGCAGCAACGGTCCTGCCTCACACGTCTACCAACTCTTCCTTGGTACATGAAGACATTCAGTCCACGTGCACGAGCTGGGAGCCAGGGGATGCTCCTGAGCTGTCATCTTCTACCACCCACATTCCACATTCAGGGACAACTGGGGCTGGCAGACCCCACCCCATGGACAGTCTTTACTCCCCTGTTCTTCCACGACACCAGCAGCTCAATGCAGGTCAAGGTCTCCCATCATGGATACTGAACAGCTCCCTGTGTGCCTCTCCACCCTCTCTGGCCATCCTCCACCTTTCCTAACACTGCATCTCACTCAAAACTCAAAACAGATGATCTCGCTCTTCCACAGAGAGCCTTCTGTGGCTCCCCGGGCCTTCAGGAGTTGACTCTCATCTGTAAGCCCACATTTTCCTCTGCACCTCCTTATTTTAGCTCCCCTACTCACTCTTAATCATTTCCAGTCCCACTGAAATATTTCCTTTCTCTCATTTACCTTTGGGGTTTTCTCTATGACAGAAAACTGTCAGGGGGCACTTGGATGTGGCTGATCATTAACGGCACCAGGGACACCGTTCCCAAACCCGCACACACACTGGACTAGGCGCACTGCCTGGGAGCCTCCTTGGCATGAGGATGAGCACCCTGGAGGGACATTCATAACAGGGCAGCCGTCACCGCAGCACGCTCTGCAGCCTTCTAGGTTTCACGCTCTTCACGTGCACTCGGGAGCATACGTACTTTTTGTACTGAGAACTCAGGAGTCATTTGAATACATTCACTGAGACTAAAATACCTGACAAGAGTGACTCACAGGAGGAAAGCTTTAATTTGGTTGTGGGTTCGGAGGTTTCAGTCCATGGTGGGCTGCCCCCATTGCTTTGGATCTGAGAAGATCCTAGAGGCAGGGCAGGACAGAAGGAAGCTACTCAGCTCATGGTGCCCGGGGGTCGGGGGGAGAGAAGAGGACAGTAAGAAGATAAAGCCAGGACATGTCCTCAGTGACCTGCTTTCTCCCACTAGGTCCCATGTCCCAGGAGTCCATGCGGCCAAGACTGATGAAATCAGAGCCCCCATGACCCAGTCCAACAGCCCCGTCTCTGAGCACTGAGTATTGGGGACGTTCTTGATCCAAACCTCAGGAAATACCTTAATAAAATCCCCTCACGTGGATATATTATGATTTATCAGAGTGCAAACAAAACAGAAAGGTTATGATTAAGGTAGAAAATTTTTTTTGGGGGGGGGGGTACCAGGTATTGAACTAATGGGCATTTGACTACTGAGCCACATCCCCAGCCCTATTTTTCTTTTTACTTAGAGACAGAATCTGACTGAGTTGCTTAGTGCCTCAATTTTGCTGAGGCTGGCTTTGAACTCGAAAATTTTAAGGTAGAAACATAATGCTTAAAACCTTGTGCTCCATTTCATATCATTCTGCAAAATTTGTATGTTAGCCATTGAATTTCTTATTGTATTTGTTGAATATTTGGCCCATATGCTCAGTTTCTTGATAAGTACATGATAAGTAAAATAAAATAGATGTGAAAAGTCATGGGCTTTTTATTTTGAAAAATATTCAAACTTCTGAGATGGCTTCAGGGTGCATTGGTGAAGTATAGAGTCTTTTTTATGGAAATGGTTTTTCAATAACATCTGCAGCTGAGGAGTTCACCTCACCCTCA